AAGTGTCTTCAGGGACACAACGACATGCTGACTGCAGTGGGGTTTGAACCTGTGACCCCCTGATCCCAACAGCAAGGCTCTATCCACTGCGCCATACGCCTCCTTATGATATGGTATAACACCTGAAATGTGTAATCCTTTTAGACACATGCTGATCAAAACTTGTATGGCGCTTCAGATTATTAACGGGACTAATAAATGGCTAATTCATGTTGCTTTTATCTCCATTCCAAACAACCGCACATAAGGACCAGTGACTGAACAGATGGTGTTTACAGTACTATACCAAAAACCTCTGACATCTCCATCCAAACCGATATGTTCTGCTGTTCTCTGTCTGAGGTCGCTTTCACAAGTCAGTGATCCAGTTCACAGCGTATCCAGGTCATTAAAGCATTTCCATTTCCTTCACAGCCCTTTGCGGCCGCAAAGAAAGTGACGGTTTTTACCATTTTGTGGAGGCGTGTGGCGCAGTGGGTAGTGCGTTGGTGTTGGGATAAGGGGAGCACAGGTTCAAACCCCACTGCAGTCAGCATGTCGTTGTGTCCCTGAGACACTTCACCCCAAATTGCTCCTGTGGGGATTGTCCACAGTATTGAGTATGTAAGTCGCTTTGGATGAAAGCGTCTAACATGACATGTAATGGTTTCTTCGCAATACAGAAGAATTATTCCATCTCCAAAAATCTACCTATACAACAGAAAACCCAAAGAAGAATAGGTTCCGTTTCATTGATTGATTTCAGAGGAGTGCAGGATAACCCCAAAAAACTAGGATGCCAAAGGGTCACACATCTTCAAGTGTCTTTAAAAAGAACCAGCAAGATTTTTAAATTCCAAATGCGAAGCTCTTCTTGTCCTGAGAGAAGTAAACTAACCCCTTTCAATTGCAGCACTTAAATTTGACTAAATCCGACCACATGAAACTTAAGATAATCAGAGCAGAACACTCTCAGAATTCAAACTAATGTGGAGCCTTGAGCTGCAACCTGCAGGTCTCATGACTTCAATAGTCATGATGTGTTTAGTTAAACTATTTACATCTTACAGCTATGATCACGTACAGGACAAACTGTTGAAAAACACAACAACCAGGCTGTGTGCGGCAAGTGTGGGAAAGCTGTGATGTAGAGGCTTTGGTGATTCTATGATTTGAGTTCAAGCCTTTGAGTCTATTTTGGCTGATATACCATAAACACTTTCAGGGGAAAAGGGACAGAAGCTGTATTTAAGTTATTCCCAAGATGTAGTAGTTGTACAAGAAAGGATGAACTGCTTTATTGGTCTTTTTGAAAACACAAATACAGGAAGCTAACTTGTGGTTAGAGAGATTAGTTAGATAGTAGTGGTCTTCTTTCTCTAACAAACTATCTTCAGCTGCATAAATTACCCAAACAAGCGAGGAGGGATAGAAGAATCTATTAAATTAGTCTCAGAGCTTAGTGAATCATTGGTGTTCGGCCAAAATGGGCTTTCCAACAATAACCCTAAAGTACAAAGTTCAGAACCCCATAGCGGTGCAGAAACAATTCCTAATTTTTAATTAACATGTTTTTGGTCAGAAGCCTGAGATGGGTCTGTAGTTAATAGAAGCCTAAGAAAAAAGTGCAAAGCTTCTACTGTATGAGTAATACATTGGCAGTTAAGTGACTAAATTAGACTTCTAACATTGTCACGGCAAAAACAAGTCTGCCTTAGCTCAGCTGTGGACGACACGATGCAAACATAACATTTCTCTATAGACAAAAGTAAGACCTTTTACATCTGCTGATTACATTTATCTCCCAATAACATTAAAACTATATTAATGTGGCGATTAGGCTGCTGAACAAAACGTGTAAGTATCATAAATGTGTGTTTCCCACACAATTTATTTCCAATTCAACATTCCAGTGGGGAAATCTCATTGCTTTTAGTCATGAACCTCTTGTGATACTTACTTCTAGGTTAGCCCTTCACAAACTATGTCATCACTGCAGCACTCAGACCAGCAATTTGAGATACGATATGGTGTTGGGCCATGACATCACAACAGGATTGTTTCATGTTTCAATGCAGATACATTTTTATGAAAAAAGTGCTTAATCATTGTCAGAGCATAGCCAATGGGTTCCAATTGCCCTATTGGCCGATGCATTCCACCTCTTTTGCCCTTTACATGTGCTATTATGCAGCCAAAATCAGCTCAAATGTGATTCGTCAATACTACGAAGACTACATACGGACACCAAAAAGCTTCTGATACCAAGTTCTTGTCCCACCTCCAACCGGTTCTGAATGTATATGCAAATATGTTTAAAAAATTAAACTAACTGAAATGATTGCATGGGGGAAATAGGTGACAATAATGGAGTGAGTATGCAGACTACTAAGGACCTAAAACTGGCTTATTGGAATACAGTTTTTAATAAATGAACACTTTACTCCGCTCTTCAATGAACAACCAAACTATCAGTTCTGTTTCAAAGCACATTCCTTCTTAATGTGACTCTTCTCCATATATTATATTCAGTTCTTCTGTCCTTTTTCTCAAGTGTACTCTGTTTCATTGTGAGTTGGAGGTCATGTGATCAGCCAGCTGCCTGAATGTGTGGTTCTGCCATTCGCCCCAGGACAGTAAAGCACACAGCATCATTACAAGCTGGGTCATAAAGATACAATGATGTACACTTTTAACTTCTTTACCATTGAAAGTGTGTATACTGTTATACTGTTAAGAGGCTAATCGTGTGTTATATGTGTGTGTGCTTAAGTCCTATACTACTATACTCAAGCACTTATTTCGTAGAAGCAATAACAGCCAGTGTCAAGTAGCAACCCTCATGTTACATAGAAATGGTGACATAAGTCTAAGCTATTCATTATGCTGTTTCATTACAAACGTCTCATCCAATAAACCCCCATGTGGGTTCAATGCCTGGGGCAGAGACATTGATCTAATTTCTCCACAGGAGCAATACTGCTTCCTTTGAGCAAAGATTTCAAAATGAAATCTCTAAAGCCTCCCAAAATAGTAATGTTGATCAAATTAAGCTCCTTTCCTTTAATAACTTTTTAATGTCCTCTTCACAAGCCTTTAAACACGTATTTGAGACACATGTATATAGTGTCCGCCATCTTGTTTTATCTCGGTATTGGAGCCAAATGATATACTGACAGGAATTGGAAATCAATTTAACCTTTGACACCTGTTACAGTTACTGGCTCATCCAGTCATTAATCTGGTCCTAACGACAGATCTTATAGCCCTGGTGTGTTCAGAAGTGCAAGAGTGTGTGTGAGGGAGAAGGAGCGGGTGAAAGATAAAAAAAAAAAAATGTGTAAAACAGGGACTCGCAATGTCAGAGCAGACTGGGCTCTGGTTTCAGACAGAGGGTGAAAAGAGGTGCTGCAGCACAGGCAGAATAAGAAAGCATGGAAACATGTCACAGTGGAGACATGAAATACAAATATGAACCTTAAACTGACCACAATATGTCCTCTTTATTCTGTGTTTATCAAAACTATAATATAAAATGTTGCTTTTTAGCAAAAGTGGCTCAACATCAACATTTTAAAAACATTTGCACCGTTTTAAATGAATACTAGGAGGTATTAACATAAATTATACCACATACTTGAAAATGTGCTCAGTAGTCCTTACATTTTACAATAGGCTTTTCAGTTGCTTCTTTCAAATTCTAATTATTACCACTTATTTTTGTTCAATGAGACATGCTGCGGATGTGAAGCTGGCGATGGAAATTATATACACACCACAACATCTGTGAAAACCCATTTAGACGTAGAATGATTATAGAAAGCATGTCATAAATAATGGGAAATAAGATGGAAACTAAACGCACACTAGATAATCAAATATAAATAGGTTTAATGTGATGAAAAAGAATATAACACATGACATGGAAAATAAAACCCACTGAATATGAATAATACAAATGTTACATTTGCGTAAAGCACATAAACATTAGATAATTAATATTGCAGCAAAACACTTAAAAAAATGTATGTTCTTAGTTTTTCCATCAGTGGTAGAGATTTGAATATCTAACCCAAAAACTCTAAAAGGATTCCACATTAAGTGCACTGACCACCAATCAAATGATCACATTTAGTCTCTCTTTGGTCTTCTTTTTGAATACATGCTGTGTCTTTTATAACTTTACTTATGCTTCTTGTTACTGTGATCAGGTTAATGTTTATGTAACCTGTTGCATACTTGATTATATTTTCCAAAAATATCATGGTATTAAGGCACCGGTTGGTAAAACTAGACACTGTCTAAAATATGCATCACATGTAAATAGACTTGTATGGCTTGAAAAAAGTCTTCATCACACACAGACACACATGTCACTGTCCTCCACTATGAATAGACAGAGGGGGGTTTTACACTTCCAATATGTCACATGCCTTTAAAACAGACACTGAGAGGAGGGAGGGTGTTGGTTTAATAGATGACTTCAAATAAGCGATACAAAAATATGTCAGCAATTATTTCAGCTTTGTTGTTTGACACGGAAACTAAAGCGGACAGTGATGAATACAACGTACAACATTTGTGTTGAAAAATAAAAACCGTTGACTTCATAAGACCTTATTGAGAAAGGAAGCCTATACGGAGACAAAAAAAACCTGTTCTCCTGGTATGGCATTTTAAAAGCAATAACATCAAGAAGGTTTTTCTTCTACTTAAGTGCCATAAAGTAAGGCCAAGTGCAAGATGTGTCATGTTTCAGTGTTTAAGGTCCCATGTCATGGCCGTTTCTACTGATCATAATTCCATTGTTGAGGTCTACTAAAATAGATTTATATTGTGCAATTTTCCAAACTCACATTGGTTTCTCATACAGCATCTCTGTATAGTATGTGTATTCACTCTCTGTCCTAAACGGCTTGTTGGAGCTCCTGCCCCCCCCACCCCCCTCCCTGTGAGCCCAGTGTGCTCTGATTGGTCGGGACATTGCGAGGCTCGCTGCTCAGTGAGCTGGCTTACTGGTGTGGTTTCCGGGTTGGCGAGACAACGCGAAACTCATCCTGAGCACACACAAAAACTCACAGCCGAAGTAAAAACAATAAGTGTGGCTTGATATGGAGTAAGAAAAAGATTTATAACGCTGTGAGAATGGGTCTCCGGAGAGCATTTCTCCACCATCCCAACTCGTCTATTACCAGCGTTCAGGGAGCTCTATGCAAGTCAATGGGACTCCCTGTTAGCATGACGTCATGCGGTTCCCGGAAGAAACAAATGGAAAAAGAGAAATCTCCAAAGAGGCATTCTGGGGCAGCATAGACAGGTCTTTCCTGTGTTAGAGTTTTACTCGCTACAGGGTGTACTTTGAAGGTTTTTGACTCTGCAGACCGTTTACATGCATAAAAACCTTCATAACACACAAAGGGATGGGTAATAACCAGAAAAGCATGACATGGGACCTTTAAATACCCAAGGGTGTTTCTTGTCCTTGAAACAAACACACTCAAGTCATTTTATTTTCAAAATGGCATCTACATTTTCATCATTACGCATGCATGCCGGAGTCAAATGTTTACCTCAGAATCTACTAAATCATGAAAGAAGAAGTGCTTCTGTTTGAAGAGCAGTAGAACAGACATTTTCATTAGTGTTTTCGAACATTTTACAGGCTTTAAAATGGCTCTAGTTTTCCTCTGAAGTCAAACCAGTTTTAAGATAATACTGTTTAAACAAAGTGGCAATTTTTCATTTACACAGAGGTTCCTATATCAGAGTGTTAGACTTTGTGACCAGTTCAAAAGACAAACTATAAAAAACGTGTTCATTGAAATTAAAGTGTGCCCCGTTTGATAATTAAATACGTAAAAAAAGAAAATCAAAGAAACCGGACCTTACAGGAGTAGAAATACAGCTGTTCATTATTTGGTTCATGAGTTTAACAGCAAACTTCTGTGTTAATGTTGAGTCTGGTAAAATAATAGTCAGCCCAAAAACAAAATCAGCCTGGAATTGTACTTTTAAATATTAATAGCAAGAAAGCTTATTTGGGATTGTATCAGAATAATGTCCGTGTACATTTTAATTAAACATTACCATTACCAGTGCAGCGGTCTGCCTTAACAATGGATGGTCAAAGCATAGATACGCCACTAAGCTTTGGCCAAACAGCAATACTGTTAGGTAGAAAAGATTAGTAGGTTTTGGAGGGGTCGTGAGATTTGCTGACCAAAAAAAAAAAACAGAAAGAAAACAATATTTATGGCTACTGTCAAGTTGAAAACCACTGCATTTTAATTTTCATTGCCACACCAGAAGCAAAGTATCTAGTAACTGGGCTACTTAATGAAATGATGACCGCTAACATGCTAGCCATCCCTGAATGTGCCATTGCTAGTCAGTCAAAAACAATTGCTCCCCAACAATTGCTCTCTTTTAACAGGGTAGCTAGCTTGGTCTCTAAAGAAACATTACAGTTAATTCGTGAAGGGTTTTCGAGAGACGTTAATAATCGATTGACTCCTGGCCCATCCACTTTGATAACTTAAAACATTTTTTAAAACCAACAGGTTTATGCTAAAAAGCCTCCCTCAAAGACTCAAAGAAGCCAAGTGTAATACAGTAAGAGCTCAAATGACGTATTTTCATGTACTTAGAATTTAGATCTGAAAGTGGGTTACTGTTAGGGTTGCAAAGGAGCGGAAAATTTCAGGTACATTTCCGGAAAGTTTCCATGGGAAGTTAAGCTGGGGAATTTTGGAAATATTCGAAATTTCAACAGATGTTTTTTTATTTCAATTTTTTTTTTTTCAAAGTAGAACAGAACAAGTTCTAATTATTTTAATGAACAATTATTTGTTTCATTGAAGAACGAAAACAGGAATGTTGAGTTAAATATTACTCATCTGTGCATGTGATGCCTGTAGGGGGTGTGGTCTCAATAGCCATGCAGTAAGCAGTGTGCTATGGCATGGATATTCAAGTGTACTTGAATGGCATCCGTTTGTTTTAGTCAAGATTATGCTCAAATATATGTTCCCCAACTATATATAAAAGTTCCCTATGAAGAGGCAACCTTCAATTTCGATAAATTCCCGTTTATTCCCGTGGAAAGTTTCCATCTTTGAAAATTCCCGGAATTTTGCAACCCTAGTTACTGTCATGTCTTGTGATAAATATTCCTGTACAGTAACTGCTCAGTCTTTTGGTTTCAGAAACAGCATTAAAAAGCAGCTGATTTCAGTGCGTAATTGTATGATCGTCACAGTGGAGTTAGGATTACTTGGCCTTTTATCCGTCTGCAGAAGTTGCTACAGTGTGAGTGTGAGCAGGACATTTTAAAGTCCATGATGTGGAAAATTGTCTTTTGCTTCATCTCTATGAAGTCAATACGTGTTTGTATGGCTCCCATAATCTTTGAATCAATCAGTCCTAATTTTTCCTTTGTCTAAGTCTCAGTAGAGCTTCCATTTAAAAAATAATTGGTCTTACAATTCAACATAACGTATTTTCATAAAAGACTAATTCTATCAACAATATAATAAAGTGTGCTGTGTAAAAGGTTGACCCAGTTTGTAAAGGCTAAAAAATGTCTTTAACCCTTTTAATAATAATTTAAATAATAAAAAATGTTATAGCGCCTTTCAAGAGACCCAAGGACGCTTTACAATGGGAAACAAAACAACAAAATAATAATAGTCACACAGATACACAGCCTTTTCAAAGGCTTACAAACTGTCTATTCTGTATCTCTTGCAATAAATGATGAATGATTTAATGAATATTGATAAACCCTCTTCTCATATTAAAAAGACACAAAGACAAGTTTCCAAAAACAATATACATAAACAACAGACAACTACAAGTCAAACTGGTTTTCTGATAACACTGAGTTATCATCCCTTAGTTAAACAAGTTTAAGTAGAAACCACATCCTCCTGTTTAATTTATCACACATATAATGACAGAGAAAATTAATGAGCAGCTTACAAGCTTCCAGAGAACAAGCAGGCAGGATGATGCAGCTGAGCGCAACAACGCAGCAACAGTTTCCAACTTGTAGAAAAAAGGGTGTGATCACATTCTACAGCTACAGCAGCCTTTTCCCAGCTAAACACATTTGTTTTGTATCTACATCTGCACACAAAACCTTCTTCTGAGTCACCTTGCAGCGTGTCACATGCCTACAAAAGTCAGCTTTGAATTGTACTCGCCAAAATTGTCCGAACAAACATCCTTCTGAGCGTCGGAGCTCCTTACCTCTCAGTGGCTCCTCAGCTGATTCAACAGAGTGTATCCTGAGGGAGACACGAGCTATCCGGAGCAGCTGACCAGCAGCCCTGCATCTACACCCGACCGACTGACCGGGAAGCTGGAAGCTGGATGACTGAATGACTGACTCTCCGGATGACTGACTCTCCTTCAGCTGGAGGCAGAGAGGCAGAGAGCCACTCCCCTCACTCAGCAGCTGACTCGCTGCTTGCCTGGCTGGAGGGATAAATGGATCACTAGTTTAATGGCTCTGCGTTGCTGACTGTCTCGCTGGTTAACCGAATGAATTCCTGCCTGAACAACTGAATGAAAGACTGACCACAGTGGACCAATAATTCACTGAATAACCATCTAAATACAACTTAAAAACTCCCGAACAGACCAGCTCATCACAGACCGTCAAACAAACTGAAAACCTGCATGAAGGCCTTTACAAACAGGGGCTGGCTATTTATTTATTCATTCATTATTTGAGAGCTATTGTATTTATTTGAACTGGGGTCTTTACACAAAATGTAAATGTGAAAAAGTAATATATTTTGTCTCCAAGTGAAGACGATTGTTCTCGGATTTCCCAACACAAATGAAGCCATCAACTAATTACAGCGGACAAATTCGAAACGTACACTACATAGTAAATAGACTCAATAAAACATACCACATTCACCCCTTACTTTCTTACCTTTCACAATAACTGTTTACGCTAACCCAGACTAAGATATGCTTGTTCTTGATTCAAACATTCAAAGGCTTTATTGTCCTATGCACCCATGCTGCAGTGTAGTTGGCAAAGAACATCCTAAATCCAAAGCTCCTCCAACAGTGCAACACACAATACCCTAAAGACCTAAACATAATTAAGGAAGTAAAATTCATTGTTTTGATGTGAAAAATATCTCTCTCTCTCTCTCATGAGAGGGTGGGGCAGAGCTACAGTTAGCTAGCTCTGGACACACACACACACAACCGCACACACCCGCACACTTCCTCTACCAGCACGACCTGAGGCTTCTCTGCACTTACTACCTGATAAGGGTGCGTGTTTGTGTGTGTGCAGCAGTAGTAGTAAAACAGGAAGAAGATGGTAAAATAAGGATAAAAGACAGGTACGGTCTTACACATCACATATAGGTTTCCGATCAAATGCAATGGAAGTCCATATAGGAAACGGTCAGTATGGATGCTTTGATTAAAACAAATACAGGACCAATGTACATGCCTCGTGTTGAATCAGCATCAATGTTGACTTTTAAAATACATGTCTGCAATTCATCAAAGTAGTGAACGTATTTGTTTTGAGCAAAGCCATGACCTAATACTTAACCATCACCAAGTACATTTTCATTTGTTGGATTGTTTTAATCTTAATTATAACCACGCATGTAAAACTGCGAGTGTAATCTTAGAGAAAGAACTTCTTCCACGAAAAGATGAATGAGAATGCAGTTGGATTGCTATTTTGAAGGACTCGCCAGGGCTCGTCTACTACATGTAAGATAATATATTATAAACCTCAATAAGGATTGTAAAAAACTAAAACAAATATTAGTCATAAATTGATGGCCAGAACTGCAGGTTTTCAAATAGAGTATAATTCAAATGAGAGAAATGTTGCATCTCCTGGATGATATGACTGTTGTATTACAGTTTGAGTAAATAGTTTAAAGGGGACCTATCATGCAAAATGCACTTTGTGATGTCTTTTATACATAAATATGTGTCCCCGGTGCGTCGGGGAACTCACGCAGCATCAGAAAATAAAACCCTCTCTCTTTTCCTCGGTACCCAAATCTTTTAAAAACGGGTGTCCAACGAGCAGATACAGATTTCCATGCTATCAGAAACGATGCCTGACGTGTTTTGGACGTAATCTCGTCTTTGTTTACATTAGCAAGCCTCGCTAACACTCAGAGCTAACCTGTACTGGAGAGCACATGTGTTTAAAAAGCAGGAAATAAAAAAATAACTCACCTTGTGATAAACCTGCAAGAGAAAAAGCATTTGAGCTCCATACTGTTTCAGAGATAATCCTTGATGTGGTTTAGAACAGGATGGTGTTTTATCACAGCAGAATTTAACTTTATCTCCGGTAGAATTCTGATCAGGCATTAGCTCCGCCTCCTCTTGTTTTGTTCAAGCTAAGAACCCAAGATCCGCGTTTCTCTAACAGGGCTTCAAAAGGGGGGTTTGAGCAGTATGAGGCATGGCTACAATGGCTGACCTGTTTGGTATTTTGAAAAAAAAACTTCACAGATATGTTTTGTATAGGTATGGCCCTACAATGTATTTTTCAAATATAGCATGATAGGTCCACTTTAAAGAATGTATGGTTAGCCTTAAAGGTTATGTGAAGATTGAGTTCCATTACTAATCCACTGTTGCAATACAATTACTGTATATTATTTTTGCTTGTATCAAATTAACTAAATAATGAATTGTTGACTGTTTTTAATGCACATTTCTTGTATGTAAATCTAGTTATTTGGATGAATCCATTGAGATTTTTTCCACAACCAATGAGAATATTACTACTCCTAGAATAGATCTGCCCAGCTACAATTAGTTGTATCTGCTCCCCTCGGCTCTGAGCAACATCGTAGCATTGGTGAGTCTCTAGCTGGCCATCAGCCATGACAGCTTCATTAGAAACGTCCATCACCCAAATTGACAATAACAGGAGGAGACACCACAGAGCAGAGAGGGTGAAGGGATACAGGCGGAGGATATTTCCTCTTCCATACTCCTCCTCTCCTCCCTTAACACAAGGAGACACTTCAGTTAAACTGAGATTTACTAGCTTTAAACCGATATTTAAATGAGTTGCTGTACCACATGGTTTGGTTCATTTGGTCCCAACCAAGAAAAAAAAAATACAATAATGCCTTTTAGTTTTGCTTCACATTGATTTACTTACAAATAAACCAATATGGCTGCTAAGTGACTATTTTCGTGTCAAAAGGGTAAACCTAGATTAGGAAAAACTTTGCGGCCCACTGGCTGAGCTTGTTAGTTAGGCCTATCTAATGTAGCTGCCGAGCTAACTGCTAACTCGCTAACCAGTCAGGCATGCTGGTCGTGCTAGTTAATCACAATAGCTCTCCAATGTTCTTCTTATTTTTACTGGGCCATTTACTCCTTAATTGCATCATTAAAGCTTAAATCATTAAAGCTCCCAGCTACTTGAGAAAAACTATTCCTTCTGTACCAGTAATACAACTCGAAAAGTGTGTCTGTGTGTCCTAATAGTAAAACTAACAAACATCTGTGTGGCTTTATATTTAAGAAAAACATGAAAAATATGTTTCAAATATATAAAATCTCTCTCTGCATGCACTTATTGGATGGTGAAAGAGATGTTAAAAGCATGTGTTAATTGGCAGATATGGCTGAAAAGCATAAATTGATTTTTTTATTTGTATATCTCTGCTGTCCCTTTTAAGCTGGTTTGGAGTCTACATGTGTCCGAGCAGTGAGGCATCATGCAGCTCATGTGGGTGACCTTTAAGGCCTTTAAATGCCACCTTTCCACAACACTGACAGTTACCATGACAAAACAAGATCTATCACCTGCTGCAAGGACACACTGACAGCAGGAGACAATATTCTGCTACACCAGAAACTATTCCTTTCCCTATGAGCTTTCTTTTCTTTAAGACAATAGAAGGCTTTATCTGGGAGTCATAAAAAGACAAATTCTCCCAATATCCATCATTTTCCATCCTGCAATGGTTACATTTTGATTTCATACCATGTCCTGTGTCAACTTCTGGCACAGAGGGTATCTGCCTTCACACCATGTTGACATCCAGTTGGGTGCACTAAGCTAACGTCAACTATTAAAGATTGTTACATTTATACAATAATTTAATCAAGAAAGCAAACATATATTCCACAGACACTTAAAGCATGGATTTAATAAGAGAACTGCATACAGCATTGGAAGTGGGGTCCTGCTCTTTCCTATTGAAGAGGTTCAGTGGTTCATAAAGCTATAATGGCTCAATGTATAAGTATAAAAATACCCTACTCTCTTTTGCATTTTAAGGAGTTGATAGCGCATGGTTCCAATAACCCTGCATACCGGGCGGTCTCAACTCAGCCAAATGTCTTTTAGCATATTATACAACTTATAGGACATAGTGCTTTTTTAACTGTCGTACTGAAAAGTTAACAATCTAAAAAAAATTGTATCTGCTCGTTCACAAAAAGTGTCTTTATGGGCCCCAGGGCATCACATGACTGACACGGAGGTCGTAAGTCCACAGTTTGGGCACTATAGAAATGGCTTCAGAGCCCGGCACTGTTCCTGGGGGCTTGACTTAAGGCCGCTACACACCAACCTGAGACCTAAGAACGCGCACCGAAGGCGTCCCGACTTTTACGTTGCCTACGCCGCCCGCCTACGCCGCCCGCCTACGAACACACCGCAAAGACTTCAGTCGACGAGTGGCAATAACTGTCCTTACCAGCAGGCAGCGGTAGTGTGTATTCGTCATTCAAAAGAGGCAACAGCCAATCAGAGTGATTTCAACATGTTGAATCGGCCGCGGGAGGTGTGAAAATGTGCCGTAAAGCAACGACGGTGCGGGACACACCAACCTGAGTAGGGCGCCGCGAATGCCCAACTGCCTCTGATGGTCTCTGGCTCCCAAAATCGGGTAGGTGTGTCAGGGCTTTTAGGGCCCAAACGAATTGAAAACAATAAATGACATGCCTCATTTGATACACCTAATGTAATGCTCTCATGGTGCACTTCAGGCATCAGACTCTACACAGAACTGCCCGTAAGGTCGCTGGTCAACACATTTGTATAAAACAGATTCACTCTAACAACCTTTGTTTTAACAGTTTGATCTAAATATTTCAGTTCCTGTTAGAAAACTATAAAGTTTAAGTTGTTGATATGATTGATAAGTTTGACTAGGCTTAAAAAGTCTTCCATCTAGTGAGTCGATTGCCGGTCATTTTTACATGATCTAATCTGTTGTCATATGAGCAATCCTTGACATTCTTACCAAGCACAAAGATCCTCTACAAACAAGGCAGTCCTTTTATTACCATTATTAACGTTTAATGTTGTTTTTGCTTGCCTGTAGCCACTAAAGAAAAA